AAAGCAGCAGATTGAACGACGGATCTTCACAGTCAGACCAACGACCTGAAACACTAAGCCCAGCAGGACGTGACACTATTTGTCCTTTGGCCTGCCGGAGTGAGGGGGAGGGAAGCTGAAGTCTGCGATGTTTGGGTGTGCTTCATGGCTTAGGGTTTAGGGGTTTTGGGGATAGTCCGACTACAGGAAGTTGTCTTCAAAACGATCACTCGAGAAGCAGCTGGCCGTGACTTGCACTCGTTCTCATGTTCCTGTCTCGCGATATCGCATTCCATAGAAAGCCCCTACACATCGGGACCACCTTGTGGATGTTGCGTAGCCAACCGCTGCCCGGAGTCCAACATTGATGCGTTTAATCCGAGTCGCCATGTCCCCGAAAACTTATAAAGGCCAGTAATTCCACTACCACCATTTTACTCGCACTGTCGGCTTGGATTCTGTCCCAGCCTCACCGCTGAAGCTTTTGCATGCTGTGATCCTCGTCTTTGGGGGCTTTGTCTCAGAGACTGTGCGTTCCTTTGAAACGGTTTGCTGCTTTTGCCTCAAGGCATCGAAGATTTCAGAAGGCTGCTTCAAGCGAATTTGACCGTGCATGTTCAACTGTTCGATGTAAAGCGGCCCGGAGGCGAAAATCAATAAAAGTCAGTCCCGCATAGCTCAAGCCAGGCGCTTCTGAACAAAGTAAAGGCCATCGAAGGTTCGGTGGATCCGTAGATCTTCATCCACATAGAGCCTTGACTGCACGTGAGACCCGATGCGCCTTTACAAATGTGCCGATGGTGATAACAAACGGCCCATACCGCATCATTGATCTTCCACCTAAACCCAATGCACGACAGCTGCCGCGACCCGTAATACCACCAGTGCAGAAACACAACTCTCCTATACAAGCCTCGAGTGTTCGAAAACACCTCAAGACAATCGCAAACCCTAGAGTCCCGGTACATTATTTCCACACTAGAGGTATGGGCAGGAACAGTATGAGGTGTTCAAGTTCCGAGGTTTGCGTCATGTGCAGGCCGGAACAGAGGCCAAGACATCATGAGCCAGCATGTACGCATTCAACATGTTGTACAGCGCATGTGTCGCAATGCTTGAATCTTCATGCTAAACTTGATGATCCTAGATGGCCTACATGCTTCTCTCTCTCTTTCTATATATACATGCGTGTATGTGTGTATGTATATATATATATATGTGTGTGTATGCATATGTGTATATATATATATACATATATATATATATATTTATAGACATATTTTACACAAGTAAACCAAATAACAAATATATATATATATATATTTTTTTTTTCTTTCGGGTAGGCAAGGGTCCGGAGGACGCGCCTCTAGCACATAAATTCCAGAGGTGAAACAGAGAAACGGACTACCGTATTGGTGTCCGAAGTCCCTCGCTCACAACCTGAAAACCAGCCTGCACCAGCCAGTCGGTTGC